AGTTGTCCCTTCAAGTTGTCCCGTTGCCAGATATACTGCTTTCTGCTCCTCTGTCCATCCATTCATCTCTGCCAGGAGCTCAAATTGTGCTCTATATGCTTCCCACGGTGCCTTCCCATTGAATACCTGTGGCTTCCTTCGTACTAGATCACACCTATTGCTGACATTCATATCTGGGATGTGACTTCTAACAGGACTGAAGATGTCTGCATTAGGGTTTAGCTGCGGGATCTGGAAGGGGCTTCCCGTTGTCTGAGGATGATTAGGTTGATGTCTAATATATCCTCCTTGTGTAAAAGACAGTAAATCATTCTTTAATATATTTAATTCACTAATTTGCTAATGTTTTCCATTTGTACTTCTTACCATTGTTGTTGACTTTCCTGTAGTTGTTGCTGACTTTCCTGCAACTGTTGGAGACTTTCTTCCTGTTTCCTTTCTTGTTCCAGGACCCACTGCTGTAATCTCTCTTCTTGTTTCTTTTCTTTTTCCAGTTGCCACTGCTGTAATCTCTATTCTTGTTTCTTTTCTTTTTCCTCCAACAACTGCTGTAATTTCTCTTCTTGTTTATTTTCTTTCTCCTCCAACCACTGCTGTAGTCTCTCTTCTTGTTTCTTTTCTTTTTCCTCCAACAACTGCTGTAATGTCTCTTGTTTATTTTGCTGTTCGAGCTGCCATTGTTGCAGGTTTTCTTGCCACTGCTGTAATTTCTCTTCTTGTTTCTTTTCTCGTTCTTCTTGTTTTGCTGTTCTTGTATTGCTACTATCAAATCTGCAAAGCTGTAGTTTGATTTGCCACTTCTCGTTTCCATCTTCTTTTTTTTTCAGTCCCGCTCTCTGACACCAATTTGTTACGTCTCTGATCGTTGGATAATTTTCCGTAGAAATTCTTTCCCATAAACTTCAGCGATACAAGTCCTTTCTTAAATAAAACTAGTTTATTCTTTCTCAATTCAACTTTGCAATACACTTAATTTCCACAGTTAGTTAAACACACGCTATAATTCTCAACGAACGATTCACGCATTTTACCGCGCTTGACTCAATTGTCCGTCTATATCTTCAATCTCTGTCCGCAATTCCATTCTGATTAATTGTCTGGCGCACTTATATACAAGAATAGAAAGGCGACCTAG